TTTTTTTTGGTATTACCATAAAAAAAAACTAAAGTCAATAATATAAAGAAAAAAACTTATAAAAAATTAAAAACAATTGATGGTATTATTGAGATGTTCCTGTGTATGAGATGATTGCATGGAGCAATTGACAGTTTAAAAACGTACGGTGAAATATTATGACAAAGAAAATTGGTGAATTTAAAGAAAGAAAGAAAGAAAGAAAGAAAAAAAGAAAGAATAAAAGAGAGAAAAAAAGAAAGATTGACAAAGAGAGGGAAAGAGATAAAGAAAGATAGAAGGAAAGAAAAATAGAGAGAGAGAGAGAGGGGGGGAGGAAGGAAGGGAGAGAGAGATGATCTAAGGCCCCGTTTATATATCAACACGATATTGAAAACTGTTTAAATTGGGATCTTCGTGTTTATGTTGCCGCACTATAAGCAAGCTATGGAATATTATTGCATTAGAAAGATGACTACGATGGGAATGACGACGATGAGAAAGGATGATGATGAGAATGAAGAAGGATGATGAGGATAATGAGGATGATGATGATGGTGACGACATAAACGATACGACGACATGATGAAACTGTTGTTGACGATGACGACAACTAAAATGATAACAATAACAATAACAATATTATTAATGTATTATTATCATTATAATTTTAATGATATTAACAAATATAATATCGATAATGATATCAACGACAAATAAAATTTGAAAAGATGATGATGAAGATGATGATGACGACGACGTGAAAGATGACAACACATTTGATTACTGATCATTTTTGTCATCCTAAATAGAGCCGATGCGTTTGTTTATACAGGCGGTGAAGCATGTTTGCATAAGTATTGCCAGCGTATCGTATGTACGTTTGTCCTTAGGCTCTGTGTGGCAGGCTGTGGATTGGATGGTTCGTTCGTTCGTTCGTTCGTTCGTTCGTTTGTCTGTGTTTTGATTTGCTCATCTGTTGGTTTGTGTGACAGTTCGTCTGTTTGTTTATTCGCTTGTTTGATTGTTTGTTGTTTTTGTTGGTTCGTCGTGTTTTTTGTTCGCACGAGAGCCACAATGAGGCCGATGATCTGATCGTGTTTTTGAAAAAACGGTAAGTACAAAAAACTAACAATGATGACATTGACATCAAAATGATGACAAATGATAACAAAACTGATAAGCTAGATAAGATAGAAATAATCATTATGTTATACATGATGAAATACACACATGGCATGGTACAACTCGCTTCTAACATGACCAGCTAGAAATACAATTTTACTGAAAAATTTGTCCTATTGTGTATGTGTGCGTGCGTGTATGTGTTTGGGAGTTTACATGTGTGTGTGTGTGTGTGTGCGTGCGTTTTTATGTGCGTGTGCGCGTGTGTGGGTGTGTGTTTTTCTTACATGTTAGACTACCATAATAACATAGCTCCAGGGGATTTCAAGTTCCGATGGTGATGATGATGAGGATGACAATGATGACGATGATGATGATGATGATGATGATGATGATGATGATGGTACTGATGGTGATATTTTCATAAATGGTTCTTAATGTTATCTTTAACCTTTTATTAATCCGTTAAATTGAATGCATCATAATGTATAAATACTTGTGGATAATAGCAAAATGAATTGTATTTAATGTATGTATGTGTGTATGATCCAATTTTGTATCAATGTATATGCATACATGATGTTTGTATATGTTTGAAATATGTATGTATGTATGTATGTGTGTGTGTATGTATGTATGTATGTATGTATGCATGTATGTATGTATGTATGTATGTATGTATGAATGTCTGTTTGTTTGTATGCATGTGGGTGGGTGTGTGTTTGTATGTATGTATGTATCTACGTGTGTATGTGTGTATGTGATGAATGATGCAGAGGGAGCACAAAGTGGAAAATGAAAGATGAGATCCATATTGTTTATGAGATATATGTGCATATATTTGTATGTGTGTGTATGTGTGTGTGTGTGTGTATGTGTTTGTATATGTGTGTGTATATGTGTATGTATGTGGGTATGTGTATGTATGTGTGTATAAATTTTCTTCATTTCGTATGTATGTGTAAATGCTTGAGCATATTTAATGCACGTAAACCTTAACTTTTTCATCCCGGTTTGTATGTTCTAGTTTGTATGCGTTCACGACTTTAATAAATTTGTATGCCAAATTTTGGACTCTGTCTGTTCGTGCAAATTTTATTCATTATAATATATTACTATGTTGCAGTACTTATATCATTTATCTTATCATTTACATTACCACAGACAGTTTCTTGATGATAAAAGCAACAACAGCAGCGCTAGTAGCAACAGTAGTAGTAGCAGCAGCCACAGTAGCGTTAGTAGTGATGGTAAAAAAGTAGTAGCGGTAGTAGTCTAAATTGCAGTATTAAAAGTAGTTGAAGTATTAGTAATGGTAGTAGGTTCGGGCACATTTATTCCGATGTATATTTCATATCAAATTTAATGACTCGACCGCACATCGCCATCGTCTGCGTCATCGTTGACGTCACAGCCGGTGACATGTAATCATCATCTTTATCATCTTCTCCATCATTATATTCGTCATGATACTTGTGACTGCATATGTGTAAAAGTAGAATACAATGTTGCTGGTTTTGTGTTTGTTAATTATATTTCGTATGTTTTTGTATGCGAATATACGTGTATTATTTTGTATGTTTTGTTTGTGTGTGTGTGTTTTATTATGTATGTTTGGTTGGTAGAAGCATTATTTTGTATTTTTAAGTTTGCTTTGTGTATTTTTTTAGTCTGTGTATTTGCTTGTGTGTGTTCGTTCGTGTGTGTTGATCATCATTAAAAACTCATCTCGTCTAGGACACACGTTCTGTCTGGTTTTGTGAAACTCATTCAGAATGTAATCAGAAAAAAATCTATGCAGCAGGTATATACGGACCGGAGTTTGCTATAAAATAAATGACATTACGTACAAAAATGTACACAAACATTCGTCCAAACAAGCAAGCAAACATGCAAGCAAACATTAAAACATACAGACAAACATACCTACATACAAACATACCTACATACAAACATACCTACATACAAACATACACAAATATACAAACATACACAGATATACATACAGATCTACAGCTAGATACAAACATATCTCACACATACATGATGTATAAAAAGTTAGGGCACATAAAACGTTACTGATCTTCACAACTTGTATATTTATAGGTTTTTAATGCATCAATGTTCTTCTTTGTGTGGGGTTGTTTGGCCGGACTGGTTGTTTATCAATCTCTCTACTCTTCATCCTCCTGTTCATCTTCTTGTTCATCCTCTTGTTCATCTTATAGTTCATTCTAGTGTTCATACTTTCGATCACTCCCTTGTTCACTCTCTGTTTAAATTTTTTTTTCTCTTTTTCGTTTTGCATGTTCGTAGTTGCGTTTTGTTTTATTGCTGTGGCGTGTCTCTATTGTATTTTATTGAATTTGTACATGCAAGAAGCAATGTGGTAGTTAAATGCTGGATAATTGTTCAATGCAAACGTGTGGATGTTCTGGTTTTTTGTGGTTGTTGTTGTTACTGTTGTAGTTGTTGTAGCTGTTGTTGTTTTGTGTCTTGTGATGAAGACGGTTGTATTTGTTGTTGTTGTTTCGGGTCTTGTGATGAAGATGGTTGTATTTGTTGTTGTTTTGTCGTTGCTAATGTTGCTTGTTGTAGCTGCCAATGTTTAGTGTGTGGGTGAATACAAAATTCATAAAAATTGCTTGAAAATGCGTGTCTGTGAGAAACCTCATGGTTTTAGCTGATATAAATAAATTTGTGGTATTTAATAGAATGGAGTATGAAATACACATAAAATTGAAATAACAGATGAAAATATAAATGTTTTAATGTGTGTGTGTGTGTGTGTGTGTGTTTGTGTGCGTGTGTGTAAGTGTGGGTGTTTGAAAAAATTTATGCAAATTCAACGTTAATCCTAATAGCTTTTAGATCTAATATGAATTAAAGTAACAGTTATACTTGATTTTAGCGAGAAAAAAGAATTAAATTTTTAAAATGCGAAAGAACAAACACAGGCGAGTAAGTACGTTGAAAACATTCGAATGTGTCTGTGAATGTTCTCCCCCTAAAATTTAAATGAACGGCTTAATTGTATGCACTTTAAAAATAGCATGAATGGTAATAACCATATAAAAGATAAGAACACAATGCAAACACACAGAGGACTGAATGCTTAATGAATCAGTTGATCATAGAATATGTTAATGTTAATGAAGCGTTGGCATTCAATGAACGAATGAATGAATTAGGAGACGGACAGACTCAGTCCATACCTTCAAACAATCTAACGATTAACAAAATTATAAACTAATCTACCTACTGATCTGTCTGAAACCTACATAGACATAGACCCAGAGACACAGACACAAGATATCATATCACAGACATGACATAGACCTAGACACACAGACACAAAATATCATATCACAGACATGACACAATTAAGCACGGTCTGGGTAAGTTGAGAGGTAAATAACTAATTAAATAAATAATCTAAAAAAATGCAACACATAAAAAAAACAATTCAATAATAATTAATAATAAGTTTTTTTTTAAATGCGTTTGGCGGCTGTTCAGTTAATGTCGTGTTAATTAATCATACTAAACATTTTGAAAATATGTGCTTCAACAACAACTATAATGTATTAACATTGAAAGTTTTGACGATATTGCTAGTGAGTGGTGTTGATGTAAGATAAGTCATCGAAACAAAAACTGAAAAACATACGTAAAAAGAACCAAACAACGCAACAAAAATGCATTATTATCAACGTTGACCGCATCACATTATTATTGATAATGCGAAATAGAAAAAGCGCATTGTCAAAGATTATCGGAGAAAAATGTAAAAACAAAACAACACAAACGAAACAACACCGGCAACACTAACAACAACGACAACAACAACAAAAACGACGACGACAACAGTGGCATGGACGACGACGACGACTAACCTTGATAGAATCAAAGCAGCAGACGACTCTGCCCGTCTGTATCTCGACGTCTGACGGCGGATGTGCGTAGCGACACTCGTTCTCGGACCTCGGACACTTGTTCCTTGCGTACTCTCTGCAGACCTCAAGCGTCAACCAGCGTGAATCCTTCACGGGACTTGTGGTGAGGATGGCAGGGAGGGGTTTGCAGGGGGCCCCGATGAGGCCCGGTGGAGGTGCAGCCATGTGGATCGGTAGGCAGGATTGCATAATTGTTGATGAGTTGTTTTAAGGTTGTCCTTGAGTGTTTAATTTTCACTTTGGGGTTATCTGTGGTTGTTGTTGGTAGCGGAGGTTGGCTGTGTATCAAAGGATTGATTGGATTTGCAGTCTGGCAGTTATTTGCCTAAAAGATATATAGAAATATAATTTGTTGATGAAGTATGCCTTTGTAAGACCGAAGTGCAATGATTATCAACAGACACTCAGCAAATTGAATGAATGATTTAATATTTCGTGCCTTGAATTAAAGGTTCCCACTTGATTGATAGGATTCAATAAGCTTGCTGGTGCAAGGGGAGATGAATTTAACAATTTGACAAATAATATGTCGTCGTTGTTGATGTTGTGATAGTTTTTAATATCGCTGTAATTGTTGTTGTTGCTGCTGTTGTAGTTGCTGTGTGTATCACAAATTTGTTTCTCTACAGCTCGTGTTGAATCATTTTAATTCAAAATCTATCAAAAAATTTAATTAAAATCAGTCAATTTTGATTATTTTACACAATTGCAAGCAGAAATAAATAATCTCAGTGTAAATAATTTAGCAAAGAAAAAAAATTTTTGACAGGCACTAAATAAAATTGTCTGAACATATAGAAACACCCGCCCGGATTAATTGCTTTCACTATTATTATTATTCTCCAAAAATAATATCGTTAATTATTTCTACCAAGCCTGTATAAATTACGAATCCATAATTTATGTTAAACATATGTTAATTTTATTCATGAATATTATTAATCTTATTTTTCAGCAGTCCATATGAGATGTTGTAAATTTGTGCTGAACAAACAATGACGCTCTATGTTTATATTAAGTTGACGACGATGATGATGGTGATGACGACGGCGAAGAGGACGACGACGATGATGATAGTAATAATAATAATGAAAATAATTATAATGATAATAATAATGATGGTGGTGGTGGTGGTGATAATGATGATGAAAATGATGGAGAGATCAAATTACTAAGAAAAATAAAGACAACGACATAACTTGGGGTGATTGTAAAGATCAAGAAAAATGCTAGATAATAATGAGGCGCGCGTTTCGACAAGAGAGTGATAATACCAATGGCGATAGTATGGTAAGAGTGATGATAGCAATGATGACGACGAAGCAAAAAGAAGCAACAAACAAATATCACGTGACCACGTGACCGCAGAGGACGATATTATAAATTATGCAGTCTCTACGACGACGATGCTGATGATGATGCTGACGATGATGATGATGGTTGTGGTGATGATGATGATGACGACGACGACGATGATGATGACGATGATGATGATGCTGGTGATGATGATGATGCTAATGATGGAGATAGGGATGAGTAAAATGATGGTGACGATAAGAGCGATAATGATAGTGATAGCTACGGAGATGATAGCAAAGAGATTATATCATCATTAGTATCATATGAAACAACAAACTATAAACATTTATAAGTAGAGAGAAAAAGAGAGAGAAAGAGAGAAAAAGAGAGAGAGAGAGAGAGAAAGAATGAAAAAAGTGAAAAAGAGAACGAAAAAGAGTGAACATCAAAGTGGGTTCAAAAAATTAAGTCCTAGCCTAACGATGATAATTTGCAGCAACAGAACAGACGTTTAGTGAAGATGTTAATGATTATTAAATTGAAAGACCTTTGGTGACGATGAAAAAGAAGTTGATGGTGATGATGAGGATGGTGGTTATAATGATGATTATGGTGATGGTTATGATGATGATGATGATGATGATTATGGTGATGATGATGATGATGATGATGACATTTACGATGGTGACGATCGCGCAATGATTATGAAGTGTTAGTGATGATGAAAAAATGGAGATGATGATGATGACATAGATGAGGAAGAAGAAGAAAAAGAAGAAGATGAGGATGATAAAAATGAAGAAGAAGATGATGATGATGACGACGATGGTAGTGGTGATGATGATGATAATGACGACGATGGTGGTGATGATGACGATGTGTAAAGTGATATGCGGGCGTGAATGAAATTATAAATTGAAAAATAAAAATGAATGATCGAAAGAATGAACAGATAAATAACTAAACAGACGAACAATCGAACGAAAAAACCTCCAAAGAGAATGAATGACAACCAAATGGCAGACCAATAAATAATAATTATAATAATAATAATAATAATAATTATAATAATAATAATAATAATAATAATAATAATAATAATAGTGATGTAGAAAAGTAGATGCAGATATCCAAAATAATGAAGATGATAGTAATGGTGATGATACAAGCGATGACGACCATGATGATGATGATGATGACTATGATGGGGATGAGGGCGGTGATGATGATGAAGATAGGGGCGACGATGATGACGATCGTGAGATCATGAAAGTCATGTTTCTGAAAAAATTTCAAAAATTCCACAGTATTGTATTTCAATGAGAAATGTATCCCGTACACAAACATTCATTCATTCATTTATTCATTCATTTATTCATTCGTTCATTCATTCATTCATTCATTCATTCATTCACTCATCCATTTATCCAATACACGCATTCACATACATACACACACAATCATATAAATATATATATATATATATATATATATATATATATATATATATACGACTATAATATATATAATTACCTATAATTAGTCGTTAAAAGATTTGCAACCAGTTTTAGCAATAATGAGTAATGATGTTTTTGTTTATATACATTTTTATATATCTATGTGTCTATGTGTATGTATGTGTATGTGTTTATCTGTGTGTGTGTGTGTGTATGTGAATGTGTCTATGTATGTGTATGTGTCTATGTATGTGTGTGTTTGTGTGTATGTACGTGTGTATGTATGTGTATATACGTGTGTGTCTTCATCTTTGCATATGTTTCAAACTGTTTGTGTTTGTGTCCGTCTGTATGTATGTGTATGGTTAAATTAATAAATTATGGTTAATTTTAAGTTAGATTTTTGTCTAAACAATCGTCTAATTTATACGAGTGTTCAGTTGTATGCAGTTTGGATGTGTTTATATGCGGGAAAAAAGTTACGTTACACTGGAATGTTGAGAATTTTTAGAAGTAAACGATTATGATGGAGAGCTCATGTCGAAATGACGTTGTTAACATTAGTTTCAATGAAAATTAACAAAACCTCTATGACATACACGTCTGAACTTGATTATACAAACACACACGCCACCACACACACACACACACACACACACTCACACACATATCTACACACACACATCTACACACACACACACACACACGCACGCACTTGAAGAGTATTTATTATATTGTATCTCTTATTGAATTTCACATAGACAACAGGTCTGTTTTTTGTTTTGAGAGATCATATAAAATACGACACGAAATCATAAATATTTTTGTCTGTTTATTTATTTTGAATAAATAAATATATAATAGAAACATGTATCGGAAAATGTGTATGTATGTGCGTGCACACGTGCGTGCGTGTGTGTGTGTGTGTGTATTGTTATAATACTCGCTGTCGTAACCGATTTACGATGCGACGGGTTCAAATCTTCGATTGAATAAAATACTCCAGACAGTTATTAGTTATTAAACTTTATTTACAGAAGAAATCAACTAATCGTTTATTTCTAGCAAATTCAAATTAACGCAACAATTAACTTTTAAATTGTTCAAAATCTATCGCTATGACAACGTCAACAAACAAATCAAATATCGCTTTAAATAATTCACCGAATCGCTATTCACAAAATCACAGTCACGAATTTAAAAAATCACGAATTTCACTAATCACGGATTTCACTAATCGCTAATCTTCTTGCGACGTGCGCTTATATACTCTTCGCAAGCGTCGTTTCTAGATTCTTCCAGATGGTCCGATTCTAGAATACTCTAGAATGCTCCAGTCACTAGAACATTCTAGAATACGCTAGAATCTAGTGCGTTCGGTAGCACGGTTATAACAATATATACACAATATAAGCACATACGCACAGACATGTACATTGTACACACAAATGTATTGAATCAATAATGTTCAACCCATACAAAACGATATTTCAACCTAAATTGGAATGCTGCAGACAGGCATGGAGTCCTCGCTGGCAAGAAGACAAAAAATGTTGGAAAAGTTCAAAGACGGGCAAACTGATGATTAACAATTGTGAAAAATTTTCATATGAAGAAAGATTGAAGAGATGTGGACAGACAACTTTGGACAAACGTAGTTCTAGGCGTAGAAAATCATAACTGGTGAAGATGAGATAGATTCATCTTCTATTCTTCCAGTTTACAGAAAATAGAAACACAAGAGGGTACCAGTACAAGCTTTTCAAAGAAAGGGTATGAACAAAGAAATGAAAATTTTTCAGTTCGAGAGTTATTGAACATTGGAATAAGCTGGTTGAAAAAACTGTAGCAGATCCTACAACACGGGAGTTCAAAGTCAGACTTGGAAGATTGGGATTTTAAATCCATATTATTAATCAAAATCCATTCAGTGGCTCTCACATGGAGATATCCACTGAACCACTGTAATCCTAGTTACGTTACGTTATTTTATGTTAAGTTGTGACTGGCTGGCTTGGATACATTAATTTTGTTTGTTTATTTTCGACATTAATAATAATGCACCGGGTTGCATGTATGATGAGAAAAATAATAATTATTATTTTTATTATCCCATCATCGTCATCAATATCATCATCAGTAGCTTCGTATGTAACAAAGAAAGTAGCATCATTCTTACTTATTACTACTAATGTTATTATTATTATCATTATTATTATTATTATTATTATTGTTGTTGTTATTATTATTATTATTTAACAGACAGACTGTTTAAACGTTGATAGGATACTGCTGAAATTTAATTAGGCCTAATTGGGATGAATTCCAATTGAA